AAGCGCTTACTCCACTGAGCCATCTCCCTGGCCCTTTAAATATATTTTTTGTTATAGTTTTTGAATTTTGATCTTTCAAGATTTTGCTTTGAGTATTTTCTAATGCTGCCATTTGTGGTTATGGGATCTGAGATCGTGGCTTCTGGTTATGGCGCACGCCCTGTCCAAACCCAGGTGGTATGGCTCAGACAGAACTGGATGGGGAGGGAAGGGAAGATCCAGGGTCGGGCCGGCAGTTCGCAGTGCAGCGCATGCACAGCCTGTGCCGAGGCCCTGGGGTCCATCTCAGCACTCCATCCCCAAGACAAGGGGTAAGGCGCAAGCTGGGCAGAACCACAGCAGACCCAGTGGAGCCAAGCCAGGGGCAGGGAAGGCAGGCGATATCAGCGATGGTGCCACGGCAACAAGTTCTGGAGAACTGGTCTGGGTGAAGCTGAGCCCGTGGGAGCCCGAGACACACCTGGGTGTGGGTGTAGTCATGACAACAGACTCCTTGGCTTATCTAAGAAATTCTTTTGCAGCAGGCCAGGAACAGGGCTCACCCAGGGGCCGTTCCTCCTCCATGTCCGCAACACCCACACTTCTTGAGGTTTCAGAGGAAGGAAGGAGGAGGAAACCAGCAGCTGCATGGGCCAGGGTCAAGTGGGAAAAGATGGGAGGAGGAAGGATTTCAGGGCTGCTGCCCCAGTGTGTATCAGTGTACATAATTCGGACAGTCTGTGTGCTCGTGGGCTACATAAACAGAAGCACTGTGGCCAGGACTGAGGAGGTGATAAAGCCTCCCCTTTCCCATCATTGATCAAGTTGCAGGCCCATTTGTATCTGGATCCCAGATTTTCAGAACAATGTTGAAAACACAAGTATGAGTTGGGCTTCTGAATAAGGAATGAGGGGCCCAAGGAAGAGGGTAACCCTGTCTTGGGGGGCTGCTGGGCCACCCACAGTGCAGGTTGAGGTTTTTGCTGGCTATGCTGCTCTCGGGCGGGGCTGTGCCCAGGAGCACACAGCCGGGTCCAGTCCTGGAGGTTGCTCTGCTGGGCACTGCGAGCGGGCTCGTAGGGTGGCCAGTGGGCTGGGGTGGGGGCTGCCTCTGAGGCCCTCTCTCCGGCCTGAGCCTCAGAATGGCCATACCAGCTGGACTGAAACACCTGGGCTAGGGCTGCACAGAGGCTGGAGGGGGCCATGCCAGGTGCCCAGGGAGCCCGGAGCCTTAAGTCCTCTGTGCCCGGGAGCGCAGCCTGCAGTGGGGGAACCACAGCACTTGTGGGGGCTGAGATGCAGGAGTGGGAGACTGACCACAGGGAGCTCTGGACACGGCAGGGCATGGTGCCTTGCCCAGGGACAGTGACCGTGATGTCGGTGCCTGGGGGACAGAGACACTGTGCCCTGGGCCAGGACTGGGGGTGTCAAGCAGCTGCGTCCTCGGCTGGCACTCTTGGCTCATGCCAAAAAGCAGAGCAGCACCCCAGCTCCCTGCCACATGTGACAACTCCCAGCACCCTTCCCCAGGAGGCAGCTTCAAATCAAATACGACACGCAAAGGAGCTGCGAGGCACCACAGGAACTTTTCCCCAGTCTCCTTCAAGGGGACGGCCATCCTCTCACAGGCTTCTCCTGAGCACAGTGGTTACCTCCTCACACACACTGTGGCCCTGGTCCCCCCATCTTGCTGTGACCAGAGGGATGTACCCCAGACATGCAGCCCACCAGGGACAGGAAGTGACCCCACCATGGGGGAGGGCTGCCTGCTGTTTGCTGGTATGGTGGAGTCCATGGAAGGCATCAGCAGGGTGGCACGCCCGATCCAGGCCACAAAAGCAAAGCAGAAAAAAACAAAAGCAAGCCTGTAGGCCGCCCTGACACAGACAGCACAGAACCTGTGCATTTGGCTCCTCCTGGAGAGCACAGCCGGGCTCCTCCTGGGTGGTGGCCCCCCACTCAGCCCTGTGTGGTACCTTTGGTCTCCACCAGCAGCTCCTCGGTGAACTTGACAGCCCGCGCCACCTCCAGCCAGGGGAAGCCTCCTCCCGCTGCGAAGAGGACGCTGTCATAGAGGGCGTCCAGCAAGATGCTCCTGCGCAGGTTCCAGCGCCCATCCTGCTCCTCCCAGTGCAGCAGTCTCCGCAGGTGCTCCTGGCCTCTCTGTTTCTGCGGACATCAGAGGTGTCCTTACTGGAGACCCAGGGCAGGAGATATGCCAGCTCTCCAGAGCAGGAAAGGAGCCCGGGGCGTGGGACACCAGGAGGAATCTCCCTTTGTGTCTAGACAGCTCCCTCTGCCCTGCCCTGCTGGAGACCCATTCATTCATTTTTTTTTTAATTTAATTTTATTTATTTATTTGTGTGTGTGTGTGTGTGTGTGTGTGTGTGTGTGTGGCCAGCTCAGCCCACCAGGGGGCGGGGCTGGGTGGCATGTGGTGCTGGGGGATTGAACCCCGGTCCCTATGCTTTGCTAAGCTTGTTCTAAGTAGGTGCTTTAGACCACTGAGCCATCTCACCAGCCCCCATTCATTCATTTTTTAAAAAGCTTTTCTTTCGAGTTCTTATCCCAGCTGCTGGAGCCCTAGTTGTGAGTGCTTCCATGGACTCGAAGTTCTAAATGATGTTATCTCTTCTCCCTTCCCTAAAATAAAAATTAATTTCTTTTCTAAACTACCATACATTTAACTAGCTATCTTACTGGTTTGATAATGAAATTTATAGTAAAGTGCAAATGACTAAGGAGAAGCCTCTTTATCTGTTTATTTCTCCAAGTCGGAGATCAAACCCACCATGTTCACTGCGCTACACCCCATCCCTGTTTTATTTTTGGATTTTGAGACAGGGTCTCCCTAAGTTGTTAAGCTGTCTAGGCTGGGTTTGAACTTGTGATCCTCCTGCCTCAGCATTCCAGACTTTTGGGATCCCAACAGTGGGTCACCACACCTGCCAAGGAGTGAGTCTTGCTGGACAGAATTCCAGGCGCTCTGGTGCCCGGGCAAAGCCCGGCAGAGAGACCTGCCCCATGTGCAGGTGAGAGCCCTCTTGCTTTGTTCTATGACTCTAAACGGTCACCGACACCTCCCATGGGGGCGAAAGGGCTGTGGGGATGTGGAGACACACACATAAACATGAGTGCTGCTCTCCTGGAGCACGGAGGGTCGGGGAGGATTCTGAGGTGAGCAGAGGCAGAGCCGGGGCCAGGGGAGCCAGCACCGTGTCCTCAGCCCCTGCAGTCCCCCTCCCATCGAGAGCTCTCCTCTGCACCTGGGCACCAGTCCGCTCTTCCTCCACCCTGGGTCCTACACTGAGGCTTTGGGGGGCACATTCCTCTTTCCTCCTGTAGTCCTGCACCTGGGGTCTCCAGAAGGCCCTGGGCTGCTAAGCACAGGATGCTGGCTGTACCCACTCTCTGGTCTCAGGGGTGCTGTGCTGGGTGAAGGCTGTGGTATCTTCCTGCTGGGCTACCCCAGAGCCACGCTAGCACGCATCGCTCCCTAGACCTGAGGTGATGCCCCCCTCACCGGCAGCTGGAAGACTTCTTTTACTCCCTGCGGTGTTAACAGTGCCATGGCCCTGCCTCTGGTTGCTAGGAGACCTCACCCAGATGCAGGAGGTTCTAGAACAGGAGGGTGGTGCCAGCTTTGTTAGGGCCCAGGCAGCTTTGGCCTTTGGGGCCTCTTTCCTTCTGGCCCTCTTCTCCACAGTGCCCTCCTGGGTCCTCATGCTGTGCCAGTGCAGGCGGGGACCTCCGGCCCATTTTCCGTTCGCTTCTGTCTTTCCATGTGCTGTCCAGCAGTGAGCAGTTTTAAACACATGCACACACACACAGACACACACACACAGACACACACACACACAGACACATACATGGACACACCTCTCATCCTTCCCAGCTCTCCAATTCCAGCAGGCATCCCCGTCCTCCCCATCTTGGGATCTGCATCCAGGAAAGCTGTGCCCGTCACTGTCCTCTCAAGCGCCTGTTGCCTCCTCCCTCAGGGCCTGGAGTCCTTTGCTGGCCCACACCCTCTGTGATTCTTCATTTTTAGCCTCATGATGGTGTTTTGGGGTGCTGGAAGCAGCTCTACAGGAGTGTCCCCAAGTGTGGCACCCAGCTCCCTTGGCCCTGCTGTGATGAGGAGCCCAGGCTCTACCTCCTGCCAGCTTTGGCCTCCTCTGTGCTGGGAGCGAAGGGGGCCCAAGGTATCCTGGGGGCAAAGCTGTCCCCACCCATGTGCAGAGCCCCAGCTGGGGACACTGATGGCAGCAGTCTTCCCCAAGGCAGCCCAGCTGCTGTCTCTCTAAGTGCATCCCAGTCCCTCACCTGTAGATCTTGCCAACCCGTGGGATTTGCCCTGCTGGTCCTGGGCTGCTGTCCCCATCCCACTCTGCCTGATGACTCTTAGGCCTCCATGTCCACTCCATTAGCTGGTGCCGAGGCCCTTCCCTGAGCCCTGTCACATCATGGGAACACTCTGCACCTTGTCACTTCCTTTTAGCCATCTGATAACTTGTTTGGAGTCCCCCACACAATCGGCAAGGCCAACAGCCTGGCTGAGTTTTAGCTGTGACTTTTTATTCACCACGATGCAAGACTGGCAGGTCGTACATGCACAGGGGTTGGTGCTTGGCGGTGACTGCATTTGCTGTAGCTCTTGCAACATTGCAGTCCATGTGTCTGGGTGGTCACCTTGCCTTCGAGCCTACTTGCCTTGAAAGGGTGGGGACTATGTCTTTGGGCCTCTGGAATCTAGGGCCCACTGAAGTCTCAATAAGTATCTGTGAGTTGAACACTCAGGGTGCCACAAAGTGATACCAACAGAGGAGTCGGTCATGGAGCCTCTCGGAGTGGGATTATAGAGCTTCATTGGGGACCCTGGTCCTTACAGGTGGCCATGGGGCCTGCAGTGAAACCTTCATGCTGGGACAATGAGGCCTCCACACTGCAGGTAAGTCTAAAGTCGCATTCACCTACCTGCTTGCATCAGGCTGGGAGACACACAATAGCGTGTGGACTTGTCCTTGGCTCAGGGAGGATTTAACCGCCATCTTTTCTTTTTATCTTTTCTCAGCAGCATCATCAACATTAGTTTGTCTTCTTTGTTATCCACCTTGATCCCCTTCAGGACATCAGCTTGGATTCCAGGAAGGCGGTCACACTATCTCTAAGCACTTTGTCTGGGAGAGGCCTTGGATTCTCTCCCCCAGCCCTCAGTGCCTTCACTTTCCAGACAGTGGGCTGCAGCTGGAGGAGCCAAAACGATGGCACCATGGCTCAGATGTTGGAGTTGAGACGTGGATTCCAGCCTCAGTTCCCAAACTGGTGAAGTTTCGCCCACAGCCTGCTCCCTCCCTCCTCGTCAGATGCAGGAGCCCATTTGGTGGTAACATCTGAATGTCTGATCAACACCAGGCTCGGTGCTGCTGAGAAGGTGTTAGGGAGGTGTGCCTGACATCTGTGGGCTGTTCACTGTGAGCAAACAGGTTGCTCTCAATATTAGGGAGAGCCTTGCCCAATCAGTTGAAGAACTTGAGAAGAAAATGGAGATTTCCGAAAAAGAAGAAATTTTTTTTCAGGAAAGGCTGCAGATTCAGCCTGAGGTCCTAGCCTGCTGACTTCCCAGGCCATGTGAGGCAATACCCTGAGATAGATAGACAGGTAGATAGACAGACAGACAGACAGATAGATGATACATAGATACCTGTCTATTTTATCTATCTCCATCATGATGGATCCATTTACCATCTATTCATCTATCATCTATGTATCCACTCATCCATCCATCCATCCATCCATCCATCCATCCATCCATCCACCCATCCATGCATCCACCCATCTATCCACTCATCCATCCAACCATGCATCCACCCATCTATCCATCCACCCATCCACCCATCCATGCATCCATGCATCCACCCACCCACCCATCCACCCATCTGTCCATCCACCCATCCATTCATCCATTCACCCATACTACTATGCCTATCCAGAGAGCCCTAATTTATTCACTGCCCCACATGGACTTACATGACCACATCAGCTTTCTATATCTATATCTGTATCTATATCTGTATCTGTATCTGTATCTGTATCTGTATCTGTATCTCTATCTCTATGGCACATATATTTTAAAGAAAATTCATAAAAATAAAATTATCTAAAAATGATTTCTACCAACCAAGAATACCTGAGGAGGAGGGACATGTGATATTTGGCAGATGGGCTTAGAGGCACAGAAAGGGGAGGCCGCTCCTGACCCATCTGGGGCTATAGGAAGAAACCAACTGCACCAGAGAGTGCTTGGCATTGACTTTCTGTGCCCCTGGACAGATACCAGTTGTGACATCCTTGTGTACCTCACCCAGGATGACAGAAACAACCATCATGCTGAAACCACCATATCTGGGTCTCTGGCCTCCCAGCTCTGAATTCTTCCTGTTGTACCCAGAGTGGTGGAGGAAGAAGGCTGAAAGAGGGATGTTATAGGCCAGAAGCTGGTGACCTTGTGCTGCATGGGGAAACGCGTGAAATAGTGTCACACGCTAGCCCTGGGGACATATATTATAAGCCATCCAGGGCTGGTGAGATGGCTCAGTGGTCTAAAGCACCTACTTAGAATCAAGCTTAGCAAAGCACAGGGACCGTGGTTCAATCCCCCAGCGCCACATGCCAGCCAGCCCCGCCCCCGGGTGGGCTGAACTGGACACACACACACACACACACACACACACACACACAAATAAATAAATAAATAAATAAATAAATAAATAAAATTTTTTTAAAAAGCCATCCAAAGCTGTTGCCAGAGGGGACACAGAATGGAGAATCCAGATTGTTGGCAGCAAGGTTCCAGGCAGCGGTGAGTTATGCCCTCATGAGGCAGCCTGAAGCACGATGAGTGGAGAGCCCACTGTTCCTAGGAGAGGTGGCCTGTGGCTGGTGTTGAGGTCCTTTCATGCCAAAATGCCCATCAGATTTACCATCTACCACTTTAAGTGCACCATGGAGTGGCATTAAGCGCGTCCATGTTCCTGTTTAGCTGTTGCCAGCACCCCTCTCTGGACCTCGTCTCATCTCCCCAAGATGATATTCTATACCTATTGAACATTAAGTCCTCCCTCTCCCACCTCCATCCCACACCCTGTCTTCTTTCTCACTATGAATTCATGGTGCCAGGAGCCTCAGATGGCTGGAATCATGCACCATATGCCCCTTGTCCCTGGTTTAGTCTACTAAGCACAAGATTCTTTGATGTTGCATTGCTATTGAGTTAGGTTTCTGCCAAGGTTTTGACGTTATAAACAAAGGATTGAGCAAGACACTCAAGAGTTGCAGCAAGGTCAATGATTTATTGGAAGAGGGAACACAAGATCCACTCCACCATGCTGGGGCCAGCCAGTGAGAAGCTACCACGGCCCTAGGAACTTGTGTGAGGGTCTGAAGCATGAGTGTCTGAAGTGGGGTTGAGGGCTCGATCTGAGTTGTGACTCTTGCCAGTCAGTAGTTTAACTCAATCCTTCCATCAGGCAGTAGACTTTTGAGATCCTTGGAGGAGCTGTCATGGCGTCCAAAGCCATTGGACAGGGGAAGGTGTCAATCTGCATAGTCAGTGGGCGTGGTGATTGGGTTAGGGTTGGCCACGGGTTGCAGAAAAGCACTGGGTGCCTGCCCTGGGAACTTGTGTAGAAGCTAAGCTACCTGGCTGTTTTTTCCCATTGTGTTTAGATCTGGGCATCCTGGCCTGGGGCTAATGTTTAACTCAGAAGGCAGTTAAACATTTCTGGTCCCAGAAAGCAGGTTCCAAGGCAGGCCTGCATTCTCTCCCAGCCATTTCCTCTTAGATCTACCCCAAAAAGCTGATTCTAAGACAGGAGGACCCTCCCATCTTTCTGTAGCTTTTTACCTAGCTACCTACCACCTCAGTAGCATCTGTCAGAATTCACTTCCTTTTTAAAAGCTGAATCATAGACCACTGCATGCTCTTACCACACTTTTTATCCATCCATTTGTGAAGGACATTCCCCCCTTTGGAAATTATGTGTGAATGCGCAGCACTGCTACGTAAGTTCTACAGGATCAGACAGTCCAACTGCCTCTACACCTGAGATAACCAGCTTGCTTGTGAAGTGGTTATTTCAAGTGACAGCCAGTAGGATAAGTGAGCTGCCTCACCAGGCAAAAGTAAAGATAGGAATTCACTTCTAGATGTTAGAAACAAACATCTAGATGTTCCCTCAATCCAGTGATTGAAATTTAAGTGCTGGGGCTGGGTTGGCCCAGCCACTGAGAGGCACATTCCGCTCAAGCCCCAAGAGTTCTTAGAGGGGAGAGTGTGGCCTCCATGTGCTCCTTGCATGGATCAGGTGGATGTAGTTGGAACCCACACAAGCTGAATTTTGAGATCCACAGTGCCTAAACCCAATCCAGCCTGCACCACCCTGGAGATCCCCGCCAGCTTCCAGACCAAAACTCACAGCAGGAAGAATGGGATGAATTTCCACGAAGCTTGTCCTTCTGACAACCTTCCAGGAGGAAGCCAGAGAGCAAGGAGCCAGGAAGAGCTCTAGA